TTAACAGAAAAATGCTTGCAATGTTATGAGGGATCATTAATGTTGGAAAAAATTATGCAAATTTAAAATAGCTAAATTTTTACCCATCCATATATACCTCAAGAGATTCTAATTTGGATAATATGCATCTGACACTGAAGAAATTACTGCTACAAAAAAGTAATATAACATATTATTTAAAGTGGCTAAAATGAAGATGCCAAAACATCCACCAATAGGACTGCATGCATTATAGAAGTACTGTGAACAGTGCTCAGGATGGTACTCAGGGCATCCTTACCTATGACAGGGTTGTAGCACTGCATGGTCAGTGCATTGTATTTCACTGCACATGACCCAATTACATAAAGCTTCCCCTGACAAGCTGTGGCGGTGAAGTTTGTCACATACTTTAAGGCGGGGCAAGTCATAGCCCAGGTGTCGTTATAAGGGTCGTAGTGCTCAACTTCAACTCGGTCTGACGTTGTGCCTAAGAGGAAAAATTAACGATCGATAGTCACATTTAACATTCAAGTGACAAAATGACTTATTTAGTATCCCAGCCAGATATTTCTATGAGCCACTGTGGTGTTTTTAAGTAAAACTGGTGTAGCTCACATAATAGAATGTTTTGGTAAATATATTTACATTTTTTAGTGCTGCAGGCTTTGATTTTATTGTAATTTTCCACTCCTAATCACTACATAGAACCTTGGCTAACAGACCAAGATTTAGTCAGACACTTAACACTGAAAGTTACAATGGAAATATATGGAATATGTCACATTTCCAAAGAACTGATTTGTTTTAATTTGCAGAAGTATTAAAGCCTTTTTGCTTAAACATGATAGAAAGACTTTTTGAATACCTGTCACAGATAAAGGAAATGGTATGAAAAAGACAAACATAGCCATTTATTAAAGCCTTCCTGTCATAAATGACCCAACTTGGTCATTATAAAATAATTTGGTTGCTGGAGGGTTATAGAGAGTTTCAGCAACTGCAAAAAGTTGGCCATACCAACAATATTCCACAACAATGGAGAAATACTAAAACATTCTTAAAGAAAACCTCAGAGAAGCTGAAGCAAGCAGCTAGAGTGGTGATTATCTTCTGTGATTTTTGCTGCAGGTTTAAGGCACCACATGCAAAACCGATATTTATTTTCTTACCTCCGATGACATAAATCTCCCCGTTGAGCGTTGCTGATGTGTGGTTAGTCCGAGGTCGGAGCATAGGTGCCACAGTAACCCATCTCCCCTCTCTTGTGATGTACTTCCAGGTCTCTGTGGTCGACCAGGTATTGGTATTCGAACCTCGCGAGCCCCCTGTGAGGCAAAAAGGATCAGTTTGTCAAAAGTCTGTGATTGTTTTAGATTCCTCACAAAAGTAACTGGAGAGCTGCACTCTTGACTTTCTATCATTTGTCATTTAACCTAAGAGTTTTTTCAACAGTGTTCTAAAAAATGAAAGAAACACATTGGAAACACATCGGCTCTCAATGGGGAAAAAACATCATGTTGGATATCTATACTGATATGGAATGGGTATCGTGTTAGAAATGAAAGGATGGCACATTGTTTCATGGAAATGAAAATGATCAACCAAGGACTCAAAGACAGACCAAAAATCTGACTAAAAACATGATGTGGCAGGCTGGTCCATTTTGCTGCAAAATAGTACTCAGGTAGATTGTGTGAGATTGTGTCCTGGGGGATCTCCCCAGACCTGGACCAGGAAATCACTGAGCTCCAGGACTGTTTGAGGTGCAACCTGTCTATTCTGATTAAAAGTGTGGAGTATACTTGACTCACCTGACACATACACATCATTGTTCAAAGAGACCATAGAGTAACCCCACTTGTTGGGATTCGGGAAATTAGGGAGCTCATGCCACCGTTCTGCAGAGAAAATGACTTGAAGTTGAGAATATTTCACGGACCAATTGATGAATTATTCACAAATACAGTGTGCAAATGACAAATGGATTGGAGTGAAATTAAGTAAAGCTATAATATTGCCAAACAAGGTCGGATAGGTTCTTGCTTGCTGAGCTGAAACAGTAAATACAAAAAGCTTTTTGGCAGGTCGTTAACTCCTGGCCAGCTTTTGCCCCTCCACATAAAAAGGAAGCTTAAAATGGCTTTACAAAAACTTTTTCCATGTGCAAAACATAACATAAATGCCTTCTTCCAGGCTGAGCAATAAAAATGCTCAGTTCAGGAATTGAGAAGATGATCCAATTTTGTCACATCCAGACCACATTTCTGAAGGGCCATTTTTCTGTCAACACTGTATTTAACGACCTACAGAATGTGCCAAACTGGTTTGAGGAATCCCACAGACATTTTCCAACAAATTTGAAAATTAAAATGGAATCTGAACTTAAACAAACTTGAAATTTTAAATGGGGGAGAAAGAGTTTTTGTTGTTGTTTTTTTTTTTTTTTACTGGTCTTTGTGTTGTAGAAGGCACAGTTTCTGGGCTGTAGTCTTTCCAGTCTTGGGTCTCGGTCCTCCTCTTCATCAGAGTCGTCCTCATCATCCATTGAATGACCTCCCATGACAAAGAGAACTTCTTCTAGGTTTGGTTGTGGGCTCTGGGAGTTGAATCGGTCCACATGTTCAGGTGCTAAATCCATTTTCTAGAAAGTAACATTATTTTTGTAATATAACTCGTAGCAGAACAAGAAGAGAAAAAGTGTAGAAACTCACTAACCTCTCTGTAAATCTTTTCCACAGCCTCTGTACAGCTGGGAGAGGCCTGCAGCAGACTGTCCTTCAGCAGGGTGTCAGCCAGGTAGTCCAGGCTGAGCAGAGAGAGACGGGACAAGCTAAGGAGCTCAGGGAGATAGCAGAGTCGAGACTCCCTGTGGTGCCTAACCCATTTCAGGATAGCCTCCACACGAGCGCACTCTGACCGGATTTGTAGTCTTTCATCAGACAGGCATGAGATCAGCCAATCTTTTCCCAGCAACAGAAACTCATCACCCTGTTGTACAGCCTCAAAGTTCTCCAGGAGGAAGGCCCATGCTTTGGCAACCACCTCAGGACAGCCATGAATGTCCCCAAACTCCAGGATTCCCAGGCAGTTTGTTTCATCAATCTGATGCTGGAGGTATCGGCTGCACACGGCTCGCACTGTCTGGAATTGGAGCTTGCTGGAGGTACAGATCAACCCCTCCACATTTTTCTGGTTGATAGTCAGTTTGCCTGTGTAGGCAAAGTCAAGCAAGCAGCTAAGGATCTCAGGATCCACATCATGAAGCTCCACACGTGCTGCAATGCTCTCTACAAAATCCCCTGAGAACATGCAGTGAAAGTACATGCTACAAAGCGCCAGTACACCACGGTGACAGGGGAAATCTCGCCCTCCCGCGCTCAAAGTCACATCCACAAGTTTGGGGTGAGAACAGAGTGAACGCAAGCCCTCGAGCATGCTCTGAGGATGGGAGGACAGGCAGAAGTCCAGGTCATCCACATTACGCACCATTATCAACTTCAAAATGTAGCTCAGATCTTCTTTCAGCTGGTGCAATAAACAACTGAGATTAGCAATTACCTAAAAGTGTAGAGAAAGCAAATAAATGCAAGAAAAAAATGATATTAATTATCAGCAAGAACCTCACCATGAAGTTCAAAATCCAAAAACTATCGAAATTTAGCACCATGAACCGGATTATGTGGTAAACATATATATGAAGTAGCAGCATCATATGGAGAAATGACAGCTTCTAAACACTGAATAGGAGTTGGATGACATCTCTTACATGATAGTTGTAGAGTAAATAGAAAACATTTGTTCTTATTTGACAATAACAGTCAAATCAGAGTTTTAATGTGCTGACCACAGAGTACCTTTGGCCTATGATATTATAGTTAGGTCAAAATATGTCTTGAAATCAACAACAAATAACATTTCCTGTCATCTAATAAAAACTAAATACAGAATTAACAACATACTCACCACATAAGCTGGAACAGAAAAAAACTTTTCATCCTCCTAGTAAAAATGGGGATTGCAGCGGCTGTTTAGATCAATATGGAGCGGGTAGCATGGCAAAAAGCTTTTGCTAAGTCACTGGAGGGGGACTGCCTTCTGTCGTCTTAGTTATTTTTAGGGCTGACAGTGACGCTGTGCTGAAGTCAGATTCCAAACAACATGTATGGGACCTGCAGCTGCTGTTAAAGGCGCATATTTTGGATTTTCTTAACAGGCCTGGGAGCGGCAAAAGAGGACCAACAATTGGAAATGTGACAGCTGACAACTGAGTAACAATAATGCTGCCACAACTGTTCCTTGTTCAGGAGTTCAAGTGTGTGCTGTACGGTCATCTAGCACATTTTTATTTTCAAGCGGTCAGTTAATCCTGTTTTATCAAAGCCAGTGATGGTCCTCATTTACACAGAAAGTGTCCTATGAAGTCTGTGCCCTGACACATTGGGTTACAGCGTTAACAAGACAGGTCACTCTCAAATGATCATTTTTAAATGTGAAGAGACTTGTTTTACCAGAAATTTTGAAACATATTTGTGCCTAAACATAACCAGGCTACAAAACCAGAAGTAAAAAAAAAACAATTAAAACGCAAAACATGAATGAAATCAATGAAAAAGGGTCTCATTCCTCTCAAATGTGTCCGTTATTGGTGTGGCAGATTCAGTCTCACCTGGGATAACTTGTGCTTAACCGGTAAAAACAGTGGCATCTGAGAAAATGGCATGACTTTAAGCCCCGCAAATCTGTCTGCGAGCATAGACCCACCCACCTGGTGGTCAAACCTTGTGTTTACACGTAACCCAATCGGAAGAAACAAATATTGTTTGTTTAAGGATGAACTGAGGTGCATCACCAAGGCTCAAAACATGGTAAGTAAGAACTTTTCAAAGCTGTTCTAGGAGATTCCAGGTCCATGTTTTTATGAGTCTCAGAAACAAGAAAAAAACATTTAAAAAGTAAGATTTTTAATGAAGGATAAGATCAGTGAAATGAATATGAAAACAATGAAAATCAATTGAGCTCTATGTTAAGATTTATTTGTAAGAATGTCAGAATTGGTTTCTCTCAGACCATGGATCACTCTGAGGCTTTGTTGCAAATATTTACCACAAAATGCTCTCTTAACAAAGAACTGAACAAAAACACTTTTAGCACTCTTTTTTAACAGGGCTGGGTATCGTCTGAAACTTGATGATATTGACAATTATTTGACTGAGTTTCAATACTATTACCACAGTACCTAAATATTCTACTCTTAAAAGCATATATATTTTTTATAAACAGTAAAAAAAAATAACAAAATTATAATTCAGACAAAGAAATTTACGATGAAACATTAAGTAAACAAGACTTCCGACAATTAGGTTTAAGATATCTGTGCCGACTTTACTTCATAACTGATGATGGAAATGTTTAGTTCATTAATTAGTTTGATAGCCAGCCCCGATGTTATCTAAAAATATGACACAAGTGACTACTCGAAATCAAAAATCTCTGCCTCCTTCTCTTTCCAAAAAGCAAAACTACGGTCAATATATTTACAAATTTCTTCATTACTAAAACTGGAAATGTCAGTTCCAGTGTAGAGTGTCCCCTCATCTGGCGTAGGCGTCTGCACAATGACTTTAGGGACCTGTCTAACCTCTGGGAGGCTGTGTTTTACTGTTTCTGTAGAGCATTCAGGCTGACTCAAGGTATTCCCAAAGAACTTTATTTTAATGTCCTCGAAGCCGTCCTTCCACTCACGGTTCCCAGCCTCAATGTCCTGAATGACGGCCTTATGAAAGTCCCTGACCATCTCCCAGGGGAAGCTCCCCACATGGTCGAATACCTCGAAGCACAGAAGATGCCTCATTTTCCGTTCATCGACTGGCAGGTCCAGCTCCAAGATGTGAAAGTAGCCCAGCATGAAGAGATCTAGGGTCAGGTTGTCATACTCTACAGGAACACCATCCAGACGGGGTAAGAACTGCTCTGGCGAGTAGAGGGCTTTCTGCCTTTGGAGCCTGTTGATAACACTGCAGGTTACACAACAATGTATTTGACTATCTGTCATTCACCAAGCATGAACAAGGAGATACCATATGTCCATAGTTTACCAAGCCCAAAATTATGTAATTATGTAGCATTAATATAAATGTATTTTCTGAGTACTGGTACAAAACTTATAGACACTTATTGACATAATTTGCTTAGTGATTAATAAGGTATTCTAATTCTGATTTACTGTCCTATAAATGTCCTATAAAAAAAAAAAAAAGCAGAATCCAAGCCTGATATTTGGTATTTATGTTGAAAAATATTTTTTATTTGGTTTCAGGCTTAAATTTAGTTTAAGTCGAGACAGGGGAAGGGATGGGAACCAAAGCCCCAGACCACCCTCTCCCCAGCTACCTTCTCCAGCTTATCCAGGCAATCAGTGAGACATTTCCAGGTCAGGGAGAATCACTCCAAAATTGTGTCAAAGGGCATCCCTAGCAAAGTCCAACACCTAACGGAAATGAGTCAGACTTATCGCCAGCAATGGGGCCATAAATCTGAAGAACCCTGAAAAAGGAAGAACCTCCAAGGGATATGTTTGACCGCCTTCTCCAAGCTCAGCTGGGAAAACCCCAATGTATCAGACTCCTTTCCCATCAGAGAGTTGACAATCCATGTCCCAAGAGCTAGTTTCAACAGGCACATTGCACCCAACCCCTATGGTATCTCTTGCAGCTGGTGAGCCCACAAGAAGGCTGGCCCATTTTGCCTCTTTGGCCCCTTAGGCTAATGCCTGGCCATTTGGTGTTCTCTCTCTCGAGCTTCGTTGCCAGGCCTGCCCAAGACAGAATTCCTCCCCCCCCCCCCCCCCCCCCCCCCCCCACACACACACACACACCCATTATACTTTGCTATATAACGTATAATAGGGTTATAATGAACCCCTCTGTAATTCTAGTTGCTAAATTAGCTTGGTTGCTTGAGCGTTAACCACACTTCTCGTGTATCATTTATACAGTATAAAGCTTCTTACAGCTGATCCCTTATTTACAAGGGGTCACCACAGATAATTTACAGATAATTTGAGTTGGCAAATCTTGACGATGCAACCCGCAACCCTAAAGGTATTTGTGTTTCCTCCTGATCTCAAACCAGTGACCTTTCGCATGTTGGGTAAATATATAAACATCTACTATGGAGGAACAGCATATATGCATTAAAAGAAAACAGATATTGTTCTTAACTCCATGATTCTGATGTGAGGTGAAAATTACAATATGATCTGACACACAAACATCCACGCAAATCTCTGATTAAGTTACTTAAAGATGTGAACAGTTTCAGTTTTCAATAGGAAGGGAAAGTCACCCCATCCTACCTTCTTATCTGCCTTGAAGGGACACTGGAAATCATATTTCTCCAGTTTCCCAGCATCTTGTTGACAGCACTTCTTTGCTTGAAGAAGTGTCCCAGGGAACTATTCATCATCTCTGACTGAGCACTCTCGATGCTACTCCTATGACCAGATCTGTCACCCATGTCTGGGTTTCCTCCACTTATCTTCCTCTCTGCTGCATCCTTGCTCTTCATTGCCACAGTGTAAGCAGATTTCTTCCAGTGGCCTAAAAACAGAACAACTATCCTCTCCTTTCTAAGACTAATGGTCTCTTGAACATCAGGAACATTTGTATCATAGTCAATACCAGAGTCACTGTTTTGATCTATTTCTGCAGCTGGATTCAGCCCTTTAACCTGCTTTCCTGACTCTGGGGCCTCAAACTGTGTGGAAGAGGTTAACATGTGAGCTTCTGAAGGTTCAGCTAACAACGACAAGTTCTGCGTTTCAAAATTTGACTTCAGAGTCCTCACAGACACTCCAAACTGATGGATTTCATCCTCGATCATCTCCCTGCGTCCCCTAGTGGAGTTCTTTCTGTCTGACGTCTGAGAAAACACTGTGATAAGCTCTGTATTGGGCATCTTGCAGTAGGGCTGGTCCGTCAGGTTGGTCATGAGTAGAGACATGCTCTTTACGATCCCCGAGATACGGCCGCACCACACAGGTAAGGGAACTTGATTTGTGAAGTTCCCAAACTGCGTGTTGACGGTGATGTTCACTATGGGGGCCGGCAGGATGTGCCTGAGCTCCTCAGCTAGACGAGCCAACTCCAACTCGTAGCCTTCACAGTTCCTCTGCAGGGAGACGTTGGCAATCTGCTGCTCCAGATAGATGAGATCACCCTCAGTCAGCAGCTCACCAGAGGGCCCCAGGATGGCATTGTGGGCTTGGGAGTACCTCCAGCTGACTTTGGCAAATCTGTTCCCGTTTTCCTGTAAAACAAGAGGCAAACACCAGATAAACACGCAGGATGTAATTTTTACATTTTTTAAACATTTCAGAGGGTTTTGGCATGCAAGAAAAAGAGTAATGATACATTAAAACTGCAACACAGACCTCATCCAAACCTCAGAAATATGACTTGACTCACAATGTGCTATGTGTTCAGTGATTTGTTATGAGCAATTAAAAGTAAATGGGGACTGAATTTCCAAGTGTTTTTCAGATTTTCAGTAATGCAGATTTAGAGAAGCAACACAAAGAACGAGCTGCAATTTTTGCTTTTCTCATTATGTTTAGACTGTAACCATTTGTTTAGGGGAGGTTTTGTTTAAATTAGGCTTTACCTCAAATAGCAGACCTTACTACGGTTGATTATTATAGATTATTGTGGTGGTCATTTCTTGACTAAAAGCCGTTTTGTCTTTAATGCGAGAAAATAAAGCTTTCTCCACCCAGAAGTGGAGATAGCTTCTTTTGCTCAGCCAGCAGGCGGAAATTCAAAGTTGTCTGTCGATGAAGTTATTCATTTTATGTGCTCCATCTTTTCCAAGAAACACTCCAAATATTTTCCCAAATATTTGTTCATTTTTAAATGACTATTCCAAGAAACCAGAAAGGCCTTTGCCTTTGGGATTTAAATGTAAAAGAAATGGGGAAAGTGTGTGCACGAGTACCTACAAGTGTAACCCAACGGTTGGGTTACTTCCTGTTACAGAAGCTGAAATATTAAACACAACTTATACCAACCTATAACACAAAGGATTTTATAAAGAATCTAATACGTAAAGATCCACACAACATAATGACTGTTTTGCATGCAGTTGCATTCTGTATAATCTAAAAGGGCTTAGAAGTACCATTAGAAGCAAAAACTGACACTTTTTAAATACAGGACATACACTAAAGTGTTATCGACTAACTGATAAATTTTAAAAGGTTGGATTGGGGCTACAGTCTTTTGTTTCTACTTAAAAGCCAACAATTAAATGGCAATCAGGCTCATTTCCCTTTTCTCTGGAACTGCTAGTCTAAAAAGTCACATCAATCTTGGTTTACTCCCGAAATTCTCTGATTTAGTCCTACATGAAAAGCACCTTGAAGATCCGATTTGTACACAATGACTTCTTGATTGAAAGTACTAAATTGTGCCCTAATTCATCTCTCAGACAACATTACCTTTCTCCTCTGATCCTCCTCATCCAGCAGCCTGGCCTGCAGCTGTCTCACCATGACTTGCCTCTTCCATTCTGCTATGGGACAGCCTCTCTCATCATGGGTGGGCACCAGATAATCAATGTCTGACAGGTTGGCCTCCTCAGTAGGTAGGACCACCATCTTATTCTTCAGAGATACATGAAGCGGCAGAGTTCTAGCTATCAGCTTTTTATCCAAAGAAAGGAAGTGAATCTGATGACAGGATATTTAAAATAAGGAAGCCTAGAATACTTACCGCTTGTCCAGTGAAAACTCCCGATATTCCTGACTGTTTCAAAGATTTAATGGACTTCATGTCGCCAAGAAGTTTTCTTTCAGCCAGGAGGTTTGCATCAGGCAACATTGTCTTATCAGTACAGACAGTTCTCTCACTCCCAGCGGCCTTGGGTTGCTTGAAACATCTAATAACTGCAGTACAAGTCATGAGAAGTCATTTTCCCAGTCATTTTAAAGCAGATTAATATTTGAAATGACTCACTGTTACCATGAAATTGTGCAATAAATTTTTGCCTTGCTTTGCAATAAGAGCAATTAAATAAGCTCCACAGATGTTTCTCTCACCAGATGTTGCGATTTCAACCTGCTCTATTCTACTGACGGCAGTCCTCTGAGGCTGGGCAGGTGTAGATGAACCAGAAGGTAAAGAAGGTGCAAGCAGGGACTGAGGGCATCTTGCTTGTGGAGACTCCTCATTCTCAGGCTGCTATTGTAAACAAATAAAAGGACTCACTGGCGTGCTCTAAGAAACCACAAAAAAAACAGAAAGCATCATAAAAACTAAACTGCGATTACCTTTAAACTGTCCATGTGTGAGTTACTGCTGTGACTGTCTGTGCATGTGTCACTCAGGCTCCCGTAGTAGTCTTCCCTGCTGTGCGGCAACACCAGGGCTGGCTTTACTTTCACCTCCTCTGCTGGAGTGGGAACCTCAATGGGCTTATCTACACTGTAGGCCTGCAAACATTTAAAATATTTAGAATAAGACTTTACTGCACTTTACTGCACTATAATTATAATCACCTTGGAAAACGTGGAAACAGAGTGTGACAAAAAGAGGTAATAAGGATTAAAAAAAGGAAAAAAACGTGGAATAATAAAGAAGCATCTCCTATATTCAGTTTGAATAAATGATTTTTTAAAATTTATTCATAATTCAAAAAAGCAAAACAAACAAACAAACAAACAGAAATAAGACAACAAACACCAAAGACAATCGAAAATTAACCGGCAATCTACAAACTTCAATATACGGGTTACTAAAAAAACAAAACACAAGTTCCTTCAACAAGGAAGCAGAATGATGCACAAACTTTACAAATACTTGTTTGTCCTTATACTTGCACTTACAGAACTGCAGCTTCCTTTAGCTGCTTTTGTACAATTATTTCATACTTGGAAGATATGTCACAACCACAAAATGATTCTCATTTGCAAGATGTTTTATTTACATCTGATCCATCCATCCATCCATCCGCTTATCCTTTTCAGGGTCGCGGGGGTCGCTGGAGCCTATCCCAGCTGTCATAGGTGGAGAGGCGGGGTACACCCTGGACAGGTCACCAGTCTGTGGCAGGGCCAACACACAGGGACCGACAACCATTCACACTCACATTCACTCGCACATTCACACCTAGTAGCAATTTGGATTATCCAATTAACCTATCCCCACAAGCTGCATGACTTTGGACGGTGGGAGGAAGCCGGAGTACCCGGAGGGAACCCACGCAAACACGGGGGAGAACATGCAAACTCCACACAGACACTTGCTGTGCAGCAACAGTGCTAACCACCGTGCCAACGTGCTGCTCCACTATTTACATCTGATCTTTCTTCAAATTCTCTGAATGCTCCTTTTCTGTGGCTGTTTCTAAGTCCAGGTCCTCTTCACTTCTTTTGCCTATGGTGTGCCACAAGGCTCCTGTTTGGGGACTTTATTGTTTCTGCTGCTCCCTCTTCAGCACATTTTGATTACTGTTAAAGAAATTTCTTATCACTGCTGCACATATGGAATCCAGTTTTGTATCTCATTTAAGCCCCAGTCACACATCTTACATACGTGCTTTGACTCTATTAAAAACTGTAATGCAAATTCTAGTTCCCCTTGCCACTTTTGCTAATCAGGATCAGGAAGCTTGGTGTGACTGCTGTTTCAGCTTTTACCTTGCTTACCAAGTTGAGGTCTATTGTGTTATGCTCTGAATTGGGGATTGTTATTCATGCCTTCATTTCATTGCAATTGGATTGTTAGGATTTGAAATGACCCATCGTTACCGTTACCTCCTGCAGTTCTGCAGTTTTAGCTGTTCACATGTCACACCATGGTTAATTCTGCAGCACTGGTTCTCCACTGACTTTAGGATTTATTTTAAGATTCTGGTTATCAGATAACCGTTACATCCATACATCGCCAGCAGGTCCCTAGGATCAGGTGATTACGGCCTGCCAGCTAATAATTAAAGGAGACAGAGCTTTTGCAACAGTGACCCCTAGACTCTGAACCTCTTTCTGTCTGAGCCTGAGATCTGTGGACTCAGCTGTTTCTTTTAAAAAGTTTTAAAACTTGCTTTTGGGTAACTTTTTTGCATTTTGTTGTGAAGCCTTTGTGATTTTTAGCTTGACAGTGCTATCAATGGAATTATACATTACTTACAGGTCTAATGAACCCTGAATATTACAACTTGCTGGCCTTAATATGCTCCAAATTTCTTTTCAGCTGAAGCACACTTTTTCATGATTTTAAAATCCCTAAATGTTTAATGCATGTTTTGACTCAGGAAAGCCTCCATTCCTTTGTGTGTGCAATGGTTTCCAGAGCTGTCGTCGTTTCAAACGGCTCACAGTTTCTGAATAATGAAAAAAAAGTAAAGCAAAAAGCACACTGTGCTGCTTTTGGTTGTAATTTCCCATCAAAAGGAAACAAGTGAAGCAATATTGTTCAGCTTTACTGTCGATAAGAAGAGGGGGAAGGAGCGGGAAACTTCCAAAAGAGCTGCAGCTGTGTTTTCGGCACTTCCCTCCTGATGTATTTGATTTACTTATTTATGGCTCATAAATGCTGCTGGTTATAAGCAATGACTAAAGCTAAACACCGTGACGATAATTTTCTCCCATGAGCCATGCAAACGCCCTTAGATATTGAGTGAAAATGCTTTAAGAATTGTGAAAGACAGGAAAACATAGATGCTCTCTAGCTAAGCAATAAAGTATCAGCTCTGAAAATGACCCAAAAGTTCTGACCCTGATCACAGAGGAAGCACCAGTCAATCAGCGTCTCCAGCTAACCGATGTAGCTATTCGGCTGGATGCAGCTGTACGCTGGCCATTGTATTGAGCCTGTAATTATGAATCATGCTTACATGTGTGAGCATGAAACTGAGTTGAATAAAAAAGGAGAGGAGGACTATATGCTGGTTATTGATGCTATCATGTGAAAATACAACTATTGGACACACATGCTGACTTCTTTACAGCAAACAATTGTTTATGTACATTTTATTTACCTCTTCAGCTATGTTACTCTCAGGTTTAAACTAAAAAAGGTTGACTTTTGCAGCCATTTGACATCTGCCACTGCCCAGACTCCATGAATGACAACAGCGGCCTTTGATTGAAATTATTTTCCTACTTTTTAAAAAACCAAGATACATACGGAGTTTGATAAGTATTAATTTGAAATGACTGATGTTAATGTTAATAAAATAAGGCACGTGCTCAGTCAGAGTTCTATTTTAAACACTCACATTTTTGTCTTAGAAAATGATGAGGATCAAAGAAGTGCTTACTGCGTTATATCTTTCCTGTCATCTAAATCAGGTGACATCATGCCTGCTGTAAGATGATCCATTTTCAGAGACTTCTCTCTTCACCTCACCTGAACTGCTGCAGGTTTCCCACCATCACACTGAACTGCAGTTTGGTGGCCGTTGCATGACGTCACAAGTGCTTTTCATGCAACGAGCCTGGTTTGTCTAGTTACGTGTGACCTCATTATGGAGTAAGATTTCGTTTGAGCGAACACCACAGAAACAGATGAAAAGAGATCTCCATAAAGGAGGTTATGTGATTGGTTCAGATTGCCTGACTTAAAAAGTTACACACAGAACTTTTGCATGAGAAGTTTAATAGAAATGGAGCTTTGCCCAACTTAGAAGTAATTCACTTTTGGAGTTGATCTCGATCCAGGAATTTTTGCAAGGATTTTTTTAATATTGCGAAATGAGGCAAAATTGTACTTTCTGCATCATATCTTCACAAACACGTACCAACATACACATTTTAGTGTGGATTGTCCTTCTACACTTGACCCTGTGTGTACACTGAGCCATCTTAATTTCACCTCACATTTGCTGTGCTCGTTTTGCTTTATTGAATTTGTTGACCTATGTTACATGGAGATGGCTCTCTGTGCCTGCTTGGGGTCTTTGTTTCTATTCTGGCTTCCTCCCACAGTCCGGAGACAGGCGTGTTCAGTCAGGTTGCTGATTCTAAACTGGCCGTAGGTAGGTATGAATGTAATGTATGGCTGCTTTTCCCCAAGTGACAGCTGGGATAGGATTCAGTGCCACACGAGCCCCCTGAACTGGAAAAACTGTTAAAAAAGGACATTATTTTATTTTGTTTTAGGTTCTTTTTTTTGTAATTTTTCAACTTTTAAGATAGATAAAAGTATATCTTAAACTGAAAGAGGAAAAGCTGGGGGAAATGGCCTTGATGTTCACAACAAAATGACACCAACTGGATCCAGGGACTCGATTCATCCATGATGTGGAGGGAAGCTATGCAGTCTCAGACTGCTTTTGTTATTACTTCTGTGTGATAGTTGTGTGTAAAGTACGACTGTAGTCTTTAATCTTAATTTACAGGAGTACATCAAACCAACCACAGAGAGGACATAATTTCTTCTCTTTGTTAGTATAGTCAAATCTTACATTTACAACAGTTTCCATTCATCATTTGTAGATAGGGGAAAAGATGATTTTCAGGTGTGTTTTTTCTTTCAGTTTGTTCTTAAATCATACACTATTTGGACAAAAGTACTGGGGACCTATGCTACATCACCTCCATTACCCCTGCAGGAACTCTTTGTACACTGTTTTTATGCTGACATTAATGCCAGAGGAGGTTTGGAAGTCTGGAGCTCTGCAGTTATTGAGTCAGAAGAGCACTGGCAACTTTTACTCTCTATGTGCCTCAGCACAATTACAGCACCATGCTTGAATTCAGTGAGCTCTTTACAAAGATCCAAATGTTTGTACAGGCAGATTGGATGGCTGCGTGCTTGATTTTATACACCTGTGGCAATGCGACTGAATTCAAAGATTAAGAGGTGTGGCTCAATACTTTTGTCCATAATACAAACTACTTAACAGGTAAATATGTCAAGTTTAGGCACAAACAGGAAATCCCAGATTACAGCAGGTTTTGGGAGCCTTTAAAGTATTAAAAATGTAGATTCAGGCAGTGTAACCAGTCACACGAGATGATTTCAATATGGGAGCAGGTTCTGTGCCAGAAAGTGTCAAAAGTGTCAGTTGTTTTAGGTTAAATATGGTTGTTGTTGTTGTTGTTGTTGTTGTTTTTTGTTGTTTTTTACAGGCTATCAAGGATATAAGTCTGCTAGGTTTTTAATTAGAATAAAAAAGGAAGTTTCTGATTATGATGAACAAATGAGCACATGAAACATTTCACAGCCTGAAGACTCGCACCAAACCAAAGAAGAAAACAAGCACATGCACGGCTGAATAGGTGGCAGCATTTCACACCGCTCCAGGCAGGCTGTCGGATGTATGGAAGCATTTAGGTCGCCTTTAATGAACCTGCATTGTCCTAATGCACTCCATACAGAATACATATCAAATTCACCTCTCAGAGGACATTATTAGTAGCCAAAACTTCAAAGCCAGGCCTAATATGCTGCTGCACGCTGTTGTGCGTTACGTCCATGAGGTGGTCCG